GGGAGCGGTCACTGCACTCCAGCCTGGGCGACAGAGTGAGACTCCTCAAAAAAAAAAAATCTGCCTAGGTCCTGCCATGCATGTTGATTAATAGATGCAAACCATCTTTCCCTCTCTCTCTTCCTCATACATACACTAAAAATAATCAAAGACCTCGGGGGCTGTGTGGAATAGAGAGATGATTTACTTATAGCCAAGGGTAATTAGGGAATCTGAAAACCGTGACTGTAGTAAAATTAAATTTGTTGATTTTTATATAGCTCCACCATCAAAAAGAAAGAACCCTTGACATTTCAAGAACATTAAGGTGACATTATCCATCATTGGCAGAAAAGAAGCACACGCTTCTGCCTAGTGCTGCTGAATGAGGGGACAGAGGCAGGAGGGAGGGCTGGAGAAAATTGTGTGTCCACACTCCAGCATTTAGGGTAGGTCAGCAGTACACCTGCTTCTCTTTTTCCATGATTACTTTGTATTTGAACCTATAAAAAGGAAACGTCTTGAAGTTTTAGATGTAGGGATCGAACGCATCCAATTACTTGCTGTGAAAAGATGCAGCTTTTCGTACTTGTCGGTGATTTCATCCAAACAAAATTAGAAAGAAGGAAGTATGTAATTTACCCAAAGTTAAGCTTAAGTTTTGTGAGATGAAATTACTTTTACTTGTAAAGCAGTCCTCCAATAGTTGTTTTTGTTTGTTTGGTTGGTTGGTTGGTTGGTTTTAATTTTGGAGATATGGTGCCTTAGTATGTTGCTCAGACAAACTCCTAGCCTCAAGCAATCTTCCTATCTTGTCCTTCCAAGTCACTGGGGTTACAGGCATGAGCCATTGTGCCTAGCTTGTTGATTTCTTTTAAGGGAATGGAATATACTATTAAGAGAAGAGTTTAGCATATAGGAGTCAAAAGACTGCTGATATTTGCCTTAAGCTTGTCTTCCTTCCTTGTCAGATGGGCGTCAATGAAAACCTGCTCATCTTCTCGAACACAAACACACAGCACAGTACATGGCCACTCCCCCAAGGCCCAGGCTTTCCTTAGCTTGGGCCACATCTGTAAGTTCGGTGCCTCCTCCATGAGCTAAGGCCAAACTACAAGTGCACAGTTGAGTGGTATACACATAGTGGTATAGCAGAAAAAAAAGTTAGGTTAATTAGTTCGGTCTCTTTCTTAGCAAAGAATGTCTTATGGTCAGCACTTTAAAATATGCTAGCTGGTCTTTCAGTGGGTCATTTATGATGGTATTAAATGCTCTGCCTGGGTTATATATCTTAAGGTGACGATAGCATTGATGACATTTAAGCCCAGGAGGCTTATAATGTAGCATTTAGGAATAAAAATGAAATGAGCATTGCCTCTTCTGGATGGACAAAAATGTATTGTCAATGAATTTTTTTTTTTTTAAGAAAACAGAAACTGATAACTTGGGAAAGAAAGAGTAGGAGAAACCGAGATGGATATTTGCTCAACTTTTCTCTGGGAGATGCAACACATTGTCCTGCTGGAGAACTTCCTCTGCTCTTGGCCTTTCCCATGCCAATATCAGTATCAGAGATACTTTGTAGTCTCGTATGCTCCACTTTGAGGGAAGTCCTAATTTGTTAACTTAAAAATAACCCCAGTTTATAGTAAAGATTACTCAAACTAAAAGGAAGGAAGATGTGCCTTAGAGAGGACAGGAAATGACTGCAGGAAGGACCAGCATAGGACATGCTGTCTAAACTAAAAGCCGGGAAGATGAAGTAAGCTTTTGAGTAACGGAGCGAGTACCTATCCTTTGTCTTATCCTTCAACACTTATAGGGAGGTTAGAGTGAAAGGAGGAATAGGGTGTGAGCAGTCAGAGGGGACACTTCAGGCAATTTTTTTAGGTCACATACCTGAGCCTGATGTGAAGGTGCATCCTAGGAAGACGGTGAGAGATGACACAGACATAAACTTCCATAGAGTCATTAAATAGTGTCCATGTGTCAGTGTGACTATTAACAACATTAATAATGATGATCATCAACATCATAGGATAATTTCAGTATGAAGTGCTTGGTCATGGTGTTATGAAGGCAATGTTTGTTCATGTTATGGCCTTTCGTGGTGTGGGAGGGAGGGCAGAGTTATCTCTAAATATAGACTGTAGAAAGTAATTTATTTCTCTAGTTCAGTAGAGTCATTGATTGAGACTAGCAGACTTGTGTACAATAGAATGAAGCCTGAATGGACACCTCTTCTGTCTCTTCCTCCTCTGTGTCCCCTTTCTCAAACCAGTCATGTGTTTTTAATGTTCTCCTGACAGCGTATGGACTTCCTAGCCACATGGGAGGATGTTTTCTGGTGTTTGTTCTTCTCTCTCTCTCTCTCTCTCTCTCTCTCTCTCTCTCTCTCTCTCTCTC